TAGGAACAGTATACTGAAAGCCACAAAAGAAAAGAAACAGATCACATTTAAAGAAAAACCCATCAGAATAACGGCAGATTTCTCTTCACAAACCATCAAGTCAAGAAGAGCACGGAGCAAAGTACTTCAAGTCATGCAAGAAAACAAATTCCAACCCAGACTGATATACCCTTCAAAACTCTCTTTCATGTATAATGGAGAAGTGAAATAGTTCTATGACAAAGAACTAAAGAATTTCGTGATGACAAAGCCAAGCCTACACAGACTACTAAATGATGCTCCAGAGAAGGAGCAAATTGATCACAGCCCCATGAATGAGAATGGAAAGAACCCACCAAATAGGGTAAACAAACACAAGAGAATAAGAGGACATTTGGCAGGTAGGTCAGCTTATCATGGGATCCCCAGGAACCATGCCAACTCCTGGTCTGTTGGTCAGTTTTCTGCTGATTTGACAAAATACCCAAAGAAAACAATTCAAAAGGAGAAAAAAAGAATGCTTTGTTCAAAATAAATGAATGAGAAGATAGAGGAAAAACAGTTGAAGTAAACTGCATGTATAAACACATTGTGGATGTATATACACATTCATATAAATATGTATTAAAAGTAAAGGCATACTGAGCATGCCTGGGGCTGCATCTGTGCCACAGAGGTGGTGGCAGGCATGTTGGGTCCCGAGGCGCTCCATCCTCGAGGTCTCTCCAGCAGACCCACAGGAGTAGGACCTGCTTGATCAGACCAAGCTGGCTACTAGGCCAACCACTAGGCCATGTCCATCAGAGCCACAGCGCTAGGGCTGTTCAACCCTGGGATGCTGCTGCCTTCCTGCTTGGCACTGGCCAGAGTTCTTTCCACCCCGGAACACCTCTACGCACATCGCTGCTGAGCACTAGATCCAGCTGGACAAAGAGGGCACCATGGCTCTGGTGCTTTTAGAGGACTGGTGTAAGGGGATGGATATGGACCCCAAGAAGGCCCTCCTGACTGTGGGCATCCCTGTGGAGTGCAGCAAGGCTGAAATCAAGAAGACCTCGAGAGCTGGCCTGCACCTGATGGGCATACAGGGTGCTAGGCAGAATATTTAGGAGAGGGGACAATGCTAAGGCCATCTTGATTCAGCTGGCTGACACTGTTAATTATCCCATGATACCCAGTTGCATACCACGCAAGGGGGAACCTGGGAAGTGGTGGTCAAACTCCAGAGCTCAGATGAAAATTTTCTTAGTAGGCTGAAATACTTCCTCAAAGATGAGGGCCAGAGAATGGAAGATGTGGCTAGAAGCCTGGGTATTAGTACCCTTTCTGGGGAGAACATGGGCGCAGGCCCTGTGGGCCCAATCATGTCAGGAGATCTGCAGCCTGGGAGAGAAAGTAAGTGGTACCGGAAACTGAAAGTGTTTTCTGGAAGTCCTACCCCGGGCCCAGGTGAAGAGGCCTTCAAGGCCTAGCTGGAGCAGATCACTAAGCTGCTGCAGCTGTGGCAGGTGTCAGAGGCAGAGAAGCTCAGGCGCCTGCTAGAGAGCCTGGGGGGCTCAGTGTTGTCCACCGTGCATGTGCTCTGGGACCAGAAGGACTCCATCTTGGTAGAGCAGTGCCTGGACACCCTAAGGGAGATCTACGGCAGCAGGGAGAACCCTAAAACCGAGACATCCATGTTTCCTCAGATGTGTCAGAGGTCTGAAGAAACGGTGCGTGCTTTCTTGCTGTGCACAGAGCCCCTGCTGCAGAAAGTGGCACGGCACAGCCCATTTTTAGGGCAGAACACAGACACAGTTCACCTCAAACATGTGCTGACTCGGGCTTCAATGTCCACTGCCTTCCAGAGCAAGCTAGAGCTCTTAGATCAGCAGGGAGCCTGCCCACTTTCCTGGAGTTGGTGAAGCTCCTTAGAGAGCAGGAGGCCTGGGAGAACACTGAGGCTGGGATGAAAGAGAAGCAGAAGCAGCAGGAGAGGAGCCTCAGGGCTTCAGGTAGACAGGAGGAAGCCCAGGCCAGTGTCCCTGCAGATCACGGTCCTGCTCAGGAGGAGCCGGTTGCCACTGCTAGCATTGATCTCACTGAAAGTCCTTCCCAGACCATGCGGAGAGGGATCCGATCAACCAAGAAGCGCCCACAGCTGTTGAGCACCCAGGACAAGGGCGAATACAGCCACACCAAGTCCACGGTGATGTGGGTTGAAGGCAGGGCTGGGATAGGAGACGAATCGGGGAACGAGAGAGGGGCTGGTGCCTTGAGCCAGCCCAAGCCCTAGAAAGCCCAGGCTCAGTTTGTGCTTGTGAGGCTCACCATGGCGCACAACACCAGAGTCTTCACCAGAGCAGGGATGAGTTGAGAACACCACAAGCAGTAGCAGTAGCAGTAGCGGTAGCGGTAGCAGTAGCAGTAGCAGCAGTAACAGCAGCAGTAGCCCCAATCAGCACTGAGGAGCAGGGCATCCAGTCACGGGACCAGTCCCGGCCCCTGACACCTCACCTTCCTCCATCTCAGAGGGTCGCCCTTACAGGGGATCAGAATGCACCTAGGTTGGGAAGGCCCAAGATCCAGAACCTAGAACTGTGGGAGGCACAATAACTCCAGGCCCCCAGTACTATTGCAAGTGAATCTTTTTCTAAATCCTGTGAATCTGCCACATTATGACTCCGTACCATATATCCCTTAATGGTCACCTGAGTGCCTCTGACCTATAAAATTCTCTTGGTGCATGAGCGTCATTAGTGACGCTGACTTCCTCTTCCCCTACCTCTGCTGAGCTAAGCTCCTAATTCTTCTTACCCCGCCTATTTCCCTAAATCTTCCGCTATGCCCCGGAGGTGGGACTTCCTGTCACAGCCCAGTTACCTAGTTATTCGCCCTTTTTACCTGCTGACATCATTTCCCTATGCCTCCACTATATATACCCAGAATTTCCTTTAAATAAATGAGACTTGACCAGAATCCTGTCTTATCTCCATTTCTCGCGTCTCCTGTCCTTTGTCCCCTCTTCAATTCCCCGCTCCTCCCCCAGGTCACCTTCGTTGACTGACCTGCTGGTTCAGGACATAGAACCCAGTAGGTGCCAGAGATGCAGTTTGGGAACAGCCAGCCACAGCACCCAGGAGATAGCAGAGCCCAGTTCCTCCCTGAGTTGTGAATGTACCCTCTTCATCAAGAAAGAGGCTGAGGGTATTACAGTTGGGAGCTTGGGTCAGACTTCCTGCTCAGTCACACGGCCACCTCCAGATGCCCACCCTATGATCTCTGAGCCAGGGACATCCACTGGGTCCGAGGCCATAATGAGCAAAGTGGTAGCTATCCCAGGACAGCCCTGGACAGAGGGAGCCAGAACATTTCCGTCAGAAGAATAAGGCAGACAGGTGATGCTGCAGAGGGGATCCCGCAGGGTGCCGCCCATGTCCAGGACCATGTCTACCTCACTAGGGGAGCCTCAGTAAGCCTGCTTCCTATAGCCTCTGTGTTGAGTCAAGCCCTAGACTCCACATCAAAGTCCCTGAAGGCCTGTATCATCAGGAGGCTGCTCACCAGAGACTCAGGAGAAAAAGGAGAGGACGAGAAGGAGGAGCAAGAGCAAGACTTTCTGTGGAGCAGTGGGGTTGGGTGAATTCCATTCAATTCTGGCAGGACCCTGCAGGAGTGGAGAACAAGCAGGGAGAACGCAGCTACAGAGGGCAAAGCCACTGCAAACCAGGCTGACCTGGGCAGATGGCCTGGAGGCACCTGAGGGCCAGCAGCAGCCTGGGTGAGGGCACCTGGAGGCGCTGTGTCCTGCTCTGTCTTCCCTGAGGGAGGTATTCCAGAAGAGGCCTTCTCAAGCCAGCTGGCTGCCTGGCTTTCCCAGGAGAGCCGACCAGCCATTCAGCTCGCCTGTTGTTGCAATATCCCTCACAGACTGCTCTGTGTCCAGGGAAGCCAGTTGGTGTCTGTAGCTCACTCATGACCCATGGTGCAGGCAAACGCCCACTCCATACTAGCAGCCTGCTTGGACAACCCTGTAGGGTGTGGATCAACCTTGGGCAGAGCATCCTGCACCTGAGCCTGTGCCGTGAGCTTCCTTCTGTGCCAGCCAAGGCTCAACCTGCTCCCATCCGGAGAACGCATGCTCTGCTCTGCTTTCTACAAGTGCATCCAAGCTTGTCCTTGTAGGGTGTGTGTGTGTCATCTGCGCAGGTCCTCTCCAGAGCCCAGGCCCAGGAGGAGGAAGGAAGAGTGGACCACAGCACAGACAACCTCCAACCATGACAACGGTCAGCACATCTGGGCACAGGAGGAACTGCGCCAGGATGGGGACTACATCTCTGGACAGGTGGCACAGGACCATGGATGCAGGGAGAGGGCTGGGGCCTTTGCTTTGATGTTCTGCCAAAGGGGTTTGTAACTCAGGTTCTTCGGTGTGCTGGGGCTTGCCCTGCTGTCTTTGCACTGTATTCTGTGTTTCCTGTGCTAGTCATAGAACAGGGCCAGCTGGGCTTGTTGCCTCACAGGAGTAGCCTTGCCAGGTGTCATACACCCTGTCAGAGTCAGCTCCAGGTCCCTCAAGCATGGGGCAGATGAGGCAGGAGCCGTGCAGGACAGGAAGTACTATCTGTGTGCTCCTGTTTGTTCAATGGTTCAGTGAAAATGTCCTTCAATACATTTCATCAGCCACAAAAAAAAAAGTAAAGCCATATTAATATGTTAAGCTGTAAAAGGCTCAAGTCAACAACTTCTGACACTGCCAATCTTATGGAAAACCCACTACTATTATGGACTACTGGACTATATTGGAATATTTTGCTGAATTCATGCATCTACAATATTTAAATGGCAATGGAATACCCATCTCTAACAAAACTGAACCAAAAAAGGGGATACAAATGAAGGATCATTTTGTATCTGTGTATACAAAATAGTCAGGATAGCTATATAGCTATTTTCTCTTAATTCAATGAGAAGAAAGATTCGTACTAATAGTGTTTGGACAGGATATCATGTCTGCATCTTGCACTATGAATAACTACTATGAAGACAACGATATGCAATGTATTAGTTATTGAAACTGTCCTATTAATCAGTTTTAAAACTGTCTCATTGCTATTTCTTTCTCAATAAAATTAAATTAAAAAATGTACTCATTTAAATATACACTTCTGACAAAATGAAAGAAATGAATCAAGCTTCTAAAGACAAAGTATTTTCACGCCAGTGATCAAAGATTTGTACAAAGGCATGCAGTTCTTCCTTGGTAAAAGCAGAAAACAGCTGGCTCAAGCAGGCAGAAGAGTTTGCAGAAAAGGGTCTGCCTCTGCTCAGGGACCCGTGTCTCATCAGCACCCTTGCCGACCACATTACCCAAGTGTAGGCAGAAACGAATTATTTTCCTTCCTTCATAAGCAAAGCACATGACAAAGTTGCATGAGCTACAAAAATCAGTAATAAATAGCCTGAAATGTTTTCTGAAAAAGGAAAATGGAAACCATCATGAATACCTTCTTTAAGAGTAATATGAATATCTTCCATATCACATCGTATTTTTGCTCTGCAGTTTAACAGCTTCTTGTCCCATGTTATTAGGACCTCCTTCTGACAAACTCCAATCTCTTCATAATCTAACTTCACTTTCCTGGACTGGAGTTCGTCTCGTCTTGCTAAAACAGGAAACAAACTTAGTAAGACCACTGTGTTTGAAAGCAGTATTTTAAACACTTTACTACAGTCATTTAATTATACTTAATGATGCTTATGGATCAACCACTAAAATGAAAGACTTTTTTAAAAATTAGGACAACATATAAGATCTAAATTACCTTGAGTCTTTTCACAGCAGAGAATATACGCAATAATTTTCTAAGGTGGTTTAACCCTTTATCTTTCACATAATAGTTCTGCTAAGTATTAAAAAGAAACCATGTGGCTATGTCATAAACTTATAACTTTTTAACAAATCTAATTGTCTCTGAAGTGACCTCTTACATTATTACAAACGCCATTAAGTATTAATATTTTATGTGACATTATGTAAGATGCTCCATCCTTTTTATTTATTTATTTTTTTTTTTTTTCTGAATTTAGGACCGGGGCTACAGGGTCTCACCACACAGATTGGACTCAAAGTGATTCTCCTGTTTTCAGCCTCCCAAGTGCTGGGATTACAGGCACGCCCCACCATGTCCAGTCTCCATCACCATCTCAGCACGCCCCAAAGGCAGAGCCAGCATGGCACGCTGGGGACCAAACTCCAGCCACTGCGTTCTGCCTAAGCAGGTGCTTTAGTCTGCTGAGCTATCAGGCCGGCCCTTACTTCATGCTCACTATAAATTGAAAAATATTTAAACATCCTAACCTCATCCATTTTTCCCAGTGTGTTTCACTGTTCCTCTTAGATGATCTTGCCATTTTGCTTTTGGTCCTGGAGATGGAACTCAAGACTTGTGCACAGGAAGTGCACGCTCTACCACTGGGCCACAACCTCTGCCTCTGTGTTCAGCCATCTTAAAAATTTACTGTCAGTGAAATTAACGCTAAGGCCAGGGAGATAGCTCGGTGGTCTAAGCAAGGACCCAGGTTGGATCCCTGGTACCACAGGATGTGCCAATCCCTGACAAGGCGTGGTAGTGCACGCCTGTAATTCCAGCTCTAGGGAGGCTATGACAGGAGGATCACTACAAATTCAAATTCTAACTACGTAGCAAGACCCTATATGAAATAAATTAATACATAAGTATTAAGAGATTAACACTAATTCCACTTTTTAAATAACACAGCACTCTTCATTTGATGATCTAAAATACAGATTTAGAACTAAAAGAATCGGCTACAAACCAACCACCATCTTTTTTTCCCCATAATTTTATTGAGAAACAAACAGCAATGAGACAGTTTCAAACCAAATTGGTAGGACAGATCCAATAATTAACACATTGCACACATTCTTCCTAGTGGTTAACTGCTGTACAAGATGCGGACATGATATCCTATTTACAAACACCATTAGAACACATCCCTCTATTCATTAAGAGAACGTAACTATATATCTATCCTAACCACTTTGAATACACAGATACAAAATGGACATTCATCTGTATCCCCTTTTTTTGTTAAGTTCCGTCATTTGAATCCAACCACCATCTTCACTTCTATTTCTACTGATTAAATGACTCTTAGCAGAGAAGAAGGAAACCCAGAGAAGTGTGTGTGCTTCTCTTCTTACACCAGGGTCCCCGACACGACTCAGCATGAGCCACACTCCCTGACATCCTTGTGTCCCTGCCCCCCTTACCTTCTGCAACACAAAATCTCTGTCATGCTTCCAAAATCCTCGACAGCACAAAAGCAACGGCAAAACAAATGTTATTCTTTACTTAATGTGTTTGAAGCCAGTTCCAATGGATTAAAATAATTCAAAAAAAGCCTATTTTTGCAGCAGAACAGCTACAATTTCTTCTGTATTAAAAGTCTAGACATCCTCAATAGAGCATCATGAAGGTATTCCTCCCGGACACCACTAGATGGCTTTCTAACACAGCTTAGCTTTGTTTCTCAATATTTATTCCCATTTCACTATAATAACCACATAATTTTTTTTTTTAAAAAAGAGGTAAGTTTACTAAAGCTAATAATAAACAATCCTGCATACACATACAGCTTTACTAATTTGCTTCCAAGTGAGTAAAGCACATTTCCTCTTCCCCTGGTCCATTTAGGACATCTGAAATATCTACTCTCTGCTACCATTTGCCTGAGGCTGTAATGGTAAGAAGAGTTAATACTCTATCTGTCCTCCACTGTAAAGAACCTGAAAGAAATAACGATCACTTGCTTAGAATTTAATAGGTTATATCACGTGTCAAAGTACAAAGAATTGATAAAGTCTTCTTCAAATATATTCTAAATATCCTCTCTTTCCTTTCTTATACTTTAAGTATATGTAGTACAATGGATCTTCCTGTAGACACATAATCATTTCTATTACAGCCCTCTGTTTCTTTAACACCCATAGCTGAGAAAAAGGCAGCACATTCAGAAAAGCCTAAGAGCCAAGAAGAGCAAACATTAAGTCCCAGAACTTGTCCTGCTGGTCTGTCCCAGGCTTCAGGTTTAACTCTGTCACTCTCTCCAGGCTAGTCACTAACTTCCGCAGGCTCTAGATGAAGATCCATGCTATTAATGGCATGTTCTATTCAAACAGTCAATAATTATAAAACTATCCTTTGGAATTTAACAAGATTTTTACTTTCACATGTTCCCTACTAAAATATAATTCCATACTTTAATTTTTTCATGAACTGATAACCATCTCTATTTGACTATTTTTTTTCTGTTTGAGTTAGTTCAAGATCTAATTGCTAAAAATTATGAATTTATTTCCTGCTGAGAATTTTAGAACTTGAGTAAATACACAATTCATCACACAGAACTTTTAAGAGCCATTTCAGTAACAATTAAGTGCAATTTTAATTTTAAGGGAAAGAGTGACTTTTTAAATATTTAACGTCTTGTGATTTTTAATCTACTAAAATACAGCAATAAAACTCCTTGCAAACAAATAAATATTGTTCAACTAAACTCGATCTGAATAACAGGTGTAGGAAGAATCTTAACATTGATACTAAGTTCAGAAATACAAGTATATTTAAAAAGATTTTAGGAAGATGCAACAATAATAGCCGGTGAGAGAGAAACCAGTAACTGTAAAAAATCAAAGGATCCAAAATAACTCAAAGCAAAGTAACTCATGTCACAGATGTAAAAAAACAAGGCCACCTTTGCTGAAGCACTCATACTTTCTTTGATAGATTCTGGTATTGTCTAGGCATCTCCTGTGGTTCTATCAATATTGTAATAAACTGTTAACTCTTTGAAAAGGCTGAGCAATACATTCTATAAAGCATTTAGTATCATAAACTTTGCAATCACTACAAATCGCACAATAATGATTACAAATTATTTGATTATAAATTTGTTGTGAATTTTTAAATAGAAAACTTATAAATCATAGACAAAACGAATTCTGATTGGATTGATTTTCAGGATCAGTTGTAAAAGAAAATGCAGATAGATGAAACTGATCTTTCTCATGTTCTAAACATTTTTAAAAAATGGAAATAAACAATTATAACCCACGCACAACCTAGTTAAAGCACATATACAGTCCACGAACAAGTGTGAGTACAAATGTAGCCCTCAGCCCTGTTTGAATAGCTAACCTTCAAGTTTCTGGTTTTCTTTTTCCATTCGAAGCAACAAGATTTGTTGATGTATTGCTTTTTTCCATAAACTCTTTAGTTCTTTAGATTTCTTTTTCTCTTCAACCTTTTCTGGATCATCATCACTGGCCAAGAATATCACCAGCGGTTCCTCCTCCATGGTGGGAGTGAGAGGAGACAGCGGCAAAAGCTCATTCCTGTCCAGACCATCTGCAAAGAAGAAAACCGTGAGAGGCATTCCTTAGTAGTAACCTGGACTACAGAAGTGTTCTCTGGAATCAACACCCTCTCGTCTTGATTCTTCAACGCTTAAAGGTGTTTACAAACCCACTTTTTCAGCATCTATTGGTTTCTGGGACTACTAAATTCATACAAATTCACTTCACTAAATTCCCCTTCTAGATTTCCCTCTTAAAGCGAAACAAAAGTTTATGTCATCTCACCACCACTTCTTCTTTGTACACCAAGAGGCCTAGAAGAGGGCTGTTCTCAAATGAACTGGCCTTTCCAACACTTCTGCAATTCACCCCTGCGTCTTCTGTGACTGTGCGTAGCAGGACTGCACAGGAGGGCACAGGAGCTGGGATTTCCCTGGGAGCCACGTCTACCATGGGAGTCATCAGAAGGGCAGCTGAGCAGTGCTGGACCTTTCCTGGCTCAGCCCTGAATGCCACTGCTCCCTCCCCCTGCCAAGTCCTCTTAACTGATCTGAAATTGGTTCCTTCTCCATTCTGGGCCATTTTCCACATACCTCCAATGATTTTCCTATTAATAAATATGATCACATCTCACAATACCTCTCAGTGAATGCTTCTAGCCCAGGGCACCAAGCACAGGCTCCCGGGAGCAGCACCGATGGCTGTCCCACCCTGGCCGCAGGTCCCCGCCAGTCTGTCTCACTCTTCAACTCAGGTGCCTGCCCTTCGCGCTCTTTCTCACAGTCCTCTGACCCACAGAGTTATCTGACATGGCCCTGAAATGTTCTAGACATGTTTCTTCCTATAATGAGTTTAAGGATTTAATTTTATCTGTGAAGCAGTCTCTGAGCAACCTAGGCAGGGTTAATTTTATCTGTATTTTAACTGCCAGCCACAGGAGTTTTTTGTTCATTTTCTAATTCACTGACCTCTGCCTTTACTTATTTACTGCCTCACATTTTGTTGTCCTTTTCTAGCTTATTGAGGTGACACTCAGTACTAACTCAATTTTTGGCTCTCTTACTTTCAGATGAACACATTCGTGGCTATGAAATATCCTCTATGTACCATGCAGTTGCGACATGCAAGGTAAAGATCATCATACTTTATTCCGTCTAGTTTCTAGGAGTAAGAAAATTTTTTTAAAATATCAAATTTTCTCAGTTGTCTTTTTGTTTATGTTTTATTGTAGTGCTAGGGATCAAACCCAGAGCCTCCGCTGGCTATGCCAGTACTCTACTGCTGAGCTATGCCCACAGCCAGAGCCATGGTATCTGTTAATCCTTCCATCTGTCTATCCATCCTTCCTTCTATCATTTCTTCCTTTCTTTCCCACTGAGATCAAAGAATATAGCAGAGATGAGCATGACTATGTGGAATGTATTTAAATGTATTAAAATATCTTTTGGCCAAGTACACAATTAATTTTATGAATGTTTGATATATGCTAAAATGAATGAATTTTCTGTTCAAAGAGAAAGTTCTATATAAATATTGTATGAAGCTTATTCCATTGTGCTACTTCAATATTTATTGATACAGCATTTAATGTACTTAATTTTCAGAGAGGAATGTGCCAAAAATGCCCATGAAAACTACTGATTTTCCCCCACAAAATCCTTTTAAATATATTCTTGCTCTCAATGATACATAATAATGCATGTTTTCACTATTGTCATAACTTTTTGTTTAGATTTTAGTTATCCCTGTGGATGCTTCTGCTCTTATTTCTAATAGTTTTAATATTTGAAAAAAGCTGCAGGGTTTCTCTTTTGACTGATATTTACCTAGTACAACATATCCAGTTTTAATTGTTTAACATATCTATGTCACTTTCTTTTACATATAACTTTTGCAAAAGACTGTCCTCTGTACTTCTTTTTTTTTTCTTTTCAAAGTTTTATTGATAAACATATAGCAACTCTGTACTTCTTAATAATGAAAAATATCTATAAATTTTTTTCTAGCACTACCTTGTTCCCTGTGCATTATGATGGGTCCACAAATAAGTTTTGGAAACTCATTCATTTATTCATGTAATAAGGATTTTAGCATATATGAAACATTCATAAAATTCATTCATTTATTCATGTAATAAGGTACTGAGACACTGGCTATCTAGTGTGTTCTAATGACACCTGGGAAGAAAATCAACCACATCCGACACAGAGAAGTTAGGTTTCCCCGTCTAACCTCTTAAATCTTCCAATCAACCATTTCTATTCTATCCCCTAACTTAGGACAGAACTAGGAGAGGTTCTCTCGTGGTTACCGCACAGACCTTGGTGCTGCATGGCCGAAGGGGACTTATTCATGGGCGATGCAACCCGCAGGAAAATGCGCTGCCGCCAGGAAATTCTGCGAGGAGAATTGATGGGGGTTCCCGCAACGTTTAGGGACTCGGTGCTGCAGGTGGATGAGGTCCGTTTCCTCCCTTCTCCATCACTGCAGAATGCCAGAGAACATTTAATTTGCAAGAAAAATTGTGTAACAGAGCACTTCACAACCTAATGGTAGCACACAAGCCATTCACAATTCTGCCACAGGCAAGCACAAGGCACAGGACACACGAGCAATGTGTCACTAGCACATTGGTCCCCCAGGCCATACATCCTGGGAAAATTGCAAGCCAGGCCACAAGCCCAGTCTTGATAAACCCAACTGTTTCTACTCATTCCTTAAGCAGTCCTGGTTATAATCTGAAGAACAGAAGTACTTATACTGAAGAGCAGAGATTACTCAAGTAATGAACTTGAACTTGGCCAGAGACACAAAATAGTTTATTGTAAACAATATGACTAGCCCACAAAATGACCAGAAAGAGCTCATCTCATAGCCAGCATATCCTAATCTGGTAAAAACAGATACTGCCTGTGACTTGCTATGATTTCTCTATAACTGTTAGTTATTAGTAGCTGGATTGTGGGGGAAAAAAAATACAACTGAAAATAAGCTCAGGGACATGGGGGGGGGGACAGGGAGAGACTGTATAAGCTAAGTTTAAAAAAATTTAACCAGAATTCATTACAGTAGAACTTCTTAAGGACTGTTTAATGTTTGCCTGTGTTGGGACTCTCCATTAGGGGAATACTGTATAGAAATTCTCCAACTTGGTTAATAGAACTGACTCTGGACTCACTACTCCCAATGTCTGTAAGGGAACAGGGGACATGACATCATTCAACATGTGAAACTCACATGTGAAAACACTAGTCTGTTCTAAGAACCTCATTTCCTGAGAAAGACCATCCTGAGTGACCTTTACTGTGCATAGACCATCTTAGGTCTATGCACAGTAAAGGTCCTCATGACTGGGATTGTTTAGATTTAGAATGTGCACAGAGTCTCGTATGTTCCAAGGTGGAGTTTTCAAAGGGCAATTGGATCATGAGGGCTCTCACCTCACTCACAGATTAATCCCTTGGTCAGGCCATAATCTGATGAATTCCATCATTGGTAGGTAATGGAATTTAGTAGTACGGCCTACTTAAATGGGCTGCGTCATACAGCATAACCTTGGGACTATGACTGACCCCTGGCCCATTCTGCTCTGAGTCTTTCCCTCTGTCTCTGCTTCTTAGGCCATCAGATAAGCACCTTTCCCCTACGATGTCCTTGGCCATGATGTCTGCTTCACGATAAGCCTAGAAGCAACGAAGCCCCCATGACCATGAAGCAACACCTCTGAAAGGGTGAGCTGAAATAAAACTGTCTTCCCTTCAGTTGCTATTCTCAGGTATTCTGTCACAATGACAGAAAGTTGGCTCCAAGTTGCTTTTGAGACCCAGGCTGTCTGCTGCTAGCACAACACACGACAACTGTTGCTCTTAGTGTAGGAGTATTTTATCTTTTCAAATTTCAGAGTCTGTAAGCTCTCCTGAGAGAATGGTGAAAATTTCAGCACATACATGCATGTGACAATAACCGTGAGGGAAGGTGTCAGACGTCTGATGGAATCAGGAAGTTCACTACTTGGGTCAGAAATGAAACTCAGCTAGCAAAGCCACAAGCCTCTGACACTTAGTAGTATTCAATGGTGCTGAGATAATTAACATGAAGAAAGCAATTCAAACCCACCAACCTGTTGCATTTTTATTTATTCTCTGTGTCCATACTTTCAACTGTCAAGCAGTTTTTATTTCTAGTCTAGATCTATTATAGTAGGAATAGCACTTTGAGATGAGCTAAATTAGGGGTAAGAAAAGGATATACTCAAGGTAGAATCAAGGTAGCAAATATGCTATGCTATGCTATGCTATGCTGTGCAACTGTGGAACACAGCTGATGCATACATTTTAATATAGCCATACCCCTCTATTATGATCCTGGATAAATTATAATCCTATTAGATATCCAATGTGCTACAATACAATGTCCCTACAATACAATAAATAAACATGTCTACTTTGAAAGCAGTGATTTAAGTAATTGCCTAAGCAAATGTGATTCAAGTGTTCTCTATATAGTAGGTACATCTTGATAAATACTCATGGAATATTCTCCATCTCTATTTTCATAATACTATTTCACTGGAACTATTTGCTAAATACAAGATAAGGGGTATATGGCAGCTAAATACCAGATAAAAGTATATATGGTAGCAATATGTAGTATTATAGTGTACTTCCAGTATAGTACCAGTAATAGGCAAATACACACTCATCAAATAATCACTGAAAAAATTAACTTTATGAGAACATATGAAATATTAACTCAGAAGGTTAAGTAAAATGGGCAATAACTGTCACAGCTGTACTAACATATCAAAACAAATGAAAGATCCACGCTCTTAAATCCTTTATGGGTAGTCACAATTGTAAGTTTTTCTGGAAAGTTCTAGAAACTGTTTTCTCAAAGTACAGACTGAGCTGCTCACGGCAACAGTAGATGTCCACAGTGACAACGTTATTAACAAACAACAAAAAGCATCTTTTTCCTAGTAGGTGTCATTCCTGCCTTCCAGGATAGTATCTAATATAATTTATGCTTTAAAAGGTAAATAAAGTACTCATACTAAAGCAATTTACAGGGTACATGTTCAATGAATACTAGTTTCTCTTTACGCTTTTAGGAATTTTCTATAAACAAACCAAACAATCCTGAAATGTTCATATTTCAATGTCGGAACTAAAACATCTGTAACACCTCACCTTCCGCTTCACTGTTAATGGCATACAAACGGTTCTGGAAGTACTAAAAATAGAGCTGAGCAATAACCACATCAGTTTCATTATTACCTGTAAAGTACAAGATTTGGGAGGAAATATGTTTTTTAAAATGAAGAAAATACCCTGATAGTAGCCCACTATTACATATTTTTAAAAATTTCACTTTACATATAAATTTTAAACCCTATAATCTGAATAAACTGGCAGCAACAGGGTTTTTTCCCTTCTATATCTATGTAATTTAATAGCCAGTAACAGCTGGAATTTAGCAGTCAAAATATAGGAATAATATACCAAATGGAAGAATTCACAATAGACTTATGATCTTTTATCTTGTACTAAAAAACGACTTCATAAAAAAAAAAAAAAGTTCAGTTGCTGAGGTAAGGAGAAAGCTGCTCTTCTTTTAGCCCGAGAAGTTTTCCCGGGCAGGGCCCTGACAATGTAGCCTAACAGTAGCTCAGCGTCTGCCAGGCCCTTAGCCGGCAATCTGACACTCTCGGGGTGGCAACTGCAAGAACCAGGCCTTCATGAAACCCACACGGCACTGCAATCGCTACGTCCCAACCTGGACCCTACTCAAGCAGGGGCAGTAGGTTCTTAAGTTTTATTTCCAGCTTTTTGCTGCATTCATTTTCACTGTAACTTCTCCTTCTATTAAACTTACAGACCAACAGTAGTGCCTGTTTTCTGAGTGAAAATAAAATAAAACAGTGCATGGTGTATAAAATAATAACAATGGGGCTGGAGAGATGGATCAGAAGAAAAAGCGCTTGAGTTCAATCCCTGGTTCCGCAAAAAAAATAAATAAATAAAAAATAAACGAAATTTCTAGGGCCTGGGGAGATAGCTCAGTAAAACAAGCACTTGCCTGGCAAGCGCAGGGTCTCTGGTACTGGAAGAAAAAAAAAAATATTATCAATGCCAAGGCTCATTAAAAGCACCTAGTACATGCCAGACATAGTTCTAAATATTTTGTAAGTATGAATCAATGTCATCCTTTCAGCAACCATAGAGTAGGTGCTATTACTAGTCCCATTTTAAGTGAGAAAACTGAGGTACAAAAAGGCTAAGTAATTTGCCAATAATCAGAAAAATACTGAGTGGAGGAGGCAGGACCCAACCCAGGTAGTCAAGAATCCAGACAGCGGGCGTCACATGCTGTGCTGATGTACATACTCTGCCTTAGTTCCAGCAAGATCTGTACAATCCTAAACCCAAAGCTGTCACAAGTCCCAGGATTCTCTCTAGCTTAAGAGAAAATTCAGTCTCTAGCTACCTTTGTTCTTTTGGTTGAGTCCATTTCTTTTCATTCACAGTGGAATAATTTAACTCAGCAAAAAGTTCACCACAACGAGGTATTTTATGTCTGTAAATGTCTCACCTTTGTTGTTTGCTTTGAAATAAAAGCAAACCATTTGAAATATAGTTTATTTTAAATAGCAACTTAAAATGTAAATTATGCAATTTATGTATTTATTTATTTTGTATTTTAGGACAGGGTCTACAGGGTCTACAGGGTCTCACTATGTAGATCGGACTCATAATGATTCTTCTGTTTGCAGCCTCCCAAGCGCTGGGATTACTGGCACACGCCCGCCACCACACCAAGTCTCAATCACTGGCATGTCTCAAGGGCAGGGCTGGCAACACGTGCCAGGGATCGAACCCTGGCTGCTGCACTCTGCCTAAGCAGGCGCTGTAGTCCGCTGACCTATGTGGCTGGCCCAAATTATGCAATTTAAAATATAGTTATTTATTTTAAAAAGAAGTAATAAAAGACAACTTAATATTGAGAACACATATACTAGAACTATTATATCTTTATATTTGAAATAATAAATTCTAGCTACACCTATGTTTTTCCATATAACCTTTTGTCTCCTTTGATATTTGGGAATATGAAGTTATACTTTATAAAACTGCTTCCTGGAAAGCAGGCGTATTTGGGGAAATTGTTGTGCTAGCATTTCTTCTATTTGAAATTTATGAGATTAAAAACAAGTAACTAGGAAGAAAATACAAAGCCCATACTTTTTTGTGTTGATATGGTCTATATCTACTGCCCACTAATAAAGAACCACATCTGTAAACACAAATGTTGGCTTATAAGGGAAGAAAATATCTGGCATTATGTGTGTCGCCATGTAGGCTGAGGAGGCTATTTCCAAGTACTATCTACACAGCACTGGCCAAAAACTATAGATTCAACAGGAACCCCTTAAAGCTTCGAAAATAATTCTTTAATATTTCTTTAAACAATATCACATTGATTAC